CGGGACGTCAAAAAGTCTTGTGACGTTTCACATTTAGGCACTGATGCATCAAGTAGCGTTTTGCCCAACCCGGACAACAGTTGAGCCGTCACTGTGCATCTTTCGCACCTGACGAGGTTCGATTCCCTGCTTTTGCTCTTTTTGCTTTTTTTTTTTGACAATGGAAAAAGCAATGCGCTCAACAAAAAAAAAGAAAGAAAAAAAAGAAAAAAAAGAAAAAGAAAAAACCCAATGTCACTCCAATGGTTTTATTTTTTTATTTTTATTTATTTTATTTTATTTTATTTCTGCACCACAGTCTTTGTATTTTTTTATTTACTTTTATTTTATTATTTCATTGCAAAAAGCATTGTATTTTTTCTTTCTTTTGATTTGCAAATGTCGAATCAGCACCAACAGATTTCGAGCGAATCGTATCTCTTCGCATTGCGGGAACGTAAGTAATGACCAATTACAATCGTTCTCCTCCTGAGAGAGCAATTCTTTCAACACACATCAGAAAGAACAAAGAACACGCATGGTGAAAGAAAAAAAAAAGAAGAAAGCAAAAAGCGCGCGAAAACGAACTTTCAGTTTGCTCTCGGTCCTGCAGATCAGCAGCCGTTCGCCGGAGCGCGCTGCCGCCAAGCATATTGTAATTGTCATGGCTTCCTTGACGGAATTGCGTCGCGATTGGCGTGAATTCGGGGAACGCGGACGCTGGGGAGGGTGAAAAGGGATTTTGAGCTTCAATTTCAATCCAGTTTTTGAGAGCACGGTGTTGAAACTGATAGTAAAAGCGCGGGAAACTGTCAGGACCCGCAGGCTCTGCGGTCCCGACTGGGTCGTTCTTTGCTAAGAAGACTCGGCGTTGATGTCTTTGTATTGTTTGTATGCATGCATTTGGAATTGCAGTTCAGTCTGCAAAGTGAAATAAAACACTTTACAACAACATTGCCTGGCTAACCCTAACAAGGTCTTACACATTGCAGACTCTGACTACAGTCACCCGATGTCTGTTGTAACCGATCCAACCAGCGCTTCGACTAGCGCTGAGGCAAGCACGGGCCCCGCGGCAAACACGAGGCAACAGACGGCTGCGAGAAAAGAGAAGATCGCGCTTCTTCGGGCGCAGCTCGCTGCTTTGGAGCTCGAGAACTCTGAGCTGGAAGGAGACTCCAAGAACGATGAGGAGACACCTCAACAGGATGAAGATCTGAAGGATCTGACGAAAACGCACCAGGGTCAAGGCGGCGTGATCAAAACTGAAACGGACGTCGAGCCGCAAAAGCTGGCTTCGTCATCGTCAGTCCCACCGCCAGCGGTCTCAACCCCGGCGGTCCACCAGCCCGCACCCCGTCCGCAGGCAGTCGACTGGCAGCCCGCCAAGGCGCCCAAGCTGCTAGCCCCCTCGTTCGACGGCACGGCGGCAAAGCTGACCCAATACGAG